GATCTCGGCTCACCGCAACCTCCGCCTCCTGGGTTCAGGCAATTCTGCCTCAGCCTCCTGAGTAGCTGGGATTACAGGCACGCACCACCATGCCCAGCTAATGTTTTGTAGTTTTAGTAGAGGCGGGGTTTCACCATGTTGATCAGGTTGGTCTCGATCTCTTGACCTCGTGATCCACCCGCCTCGGCCTCCCAAAGTGCTGGGATTACAGGCGTGAGCCACCGCGCCCGTCGTTCTTTCTTAATGGTACATGAATACTTCAAACCAGAATTTATGGGTAAATATTTCACTTATTACTATCTTACAGTTCCATATTAGTGTGGAGATTCCTTTTTTTTTTTTTTTTTTTTTTTTTTAGATACAGTCTTGCTCTGTCACCCAGGCTGGAGTGCAGTGGCACAATCTTGGCTCACCACAACCTCTGCTCCCAGGTTCAAATTTTTCTTCTGCCTCAGCCTCCCGAGTAGCTGGGACCACAGACATGCACCACCACTCCTGGCTAATTTTTGTATTTTTAGTCGAAATGGGGTTTCACCATATTTGACAGGCTGGTCTCCAACTCCTGAATTTGTGATCCACCCGTCTTGACTTCCCAAAGTGCTGGGATTACAGGCATGAGCTACCACGCCTAGCTAATATAGGTTACTTCACATCAGTTTGTTATGTTTTTTGGTTTTACCAACATACTATACTTTTAGACAATTTGCAATTCTCTTTGACTTAAGTCAATGTAAGGTTTAATTAATGTATAAACTAGCCTGCATGTCTATAACAATCTGTTTACATATGTGTCGGTGCTTATCTATAAATATGACCCCAATTTTGGTTACAGCTTGTCTCGTCTATATTCTTTTTTCTTTATTACTATTTATTTATTTTTGTGATTGAGTCTTGCTCTGTTGCCCAACCTGGAGTGCAGTGGCGTGACCTTGGCTCACTGCAACCTCCGTCTCCTGAGTTCAAGCAATTCTCCTGCCTCAGCCTGCCCAGTAACTGGGACTGCAGACATGTGCCACCACGCCCGGCTAATTTTTGTTATTTTTACTAGAGACGGTGTTTCACTATGTTGGCCAGGCTGGTCTTGGACACTTGACCTCGTGATCTCCCCACCTTGAGTCTAAAGTGCTGGAATTACAGGTGTTAGCCACCTTGCCCGGCCTTATACTCTTTCTTAGCTGAGTTTTCTTTCTTTCTTTTCTTTTCTTTTCTTTTCCTTTCTTTCTTTCTTTCTTTCTTTCT